GCGTATGTATGTGCGTGCGCGGGTAGGGTGGCGGTGCGAGGAAGCGGCGATGGGGTGGCGGCGGGAGTGGGTGGGGAAACCCGGGGGGAAGCGAGCCCCGAGCACACACAAGGCGCGCGCACCAGAGGCATGCACACCGCGCTCCCTCCGGCTGCTCGCTCCAGCTCAGGCGGTGGAAGTAGCGGCAGCCCGGCTCTCCCTTTCCGCAGGGTGGGGAAGAAAGAGCGAGACGGACAGAGACACAGCAAGCAGGCGAGCTTAGCAATGGCCGGAGCCAGCAGGCATTGACCACGGTCTTCCCCCCCCCCTTCCCCTCAGAGCTGCTGCTGGAGGAGGAGGAGAGAGAGGAGGAGCAGCTTTAGCATCTCTCTGGCTTTGCCGAAGGAGTCTGAGCTGCTGCCTCGCACAGGCATGGTGCTATTATAGCGCGCAGCCTTGCCGCTCCGCTGCACTGAGCCAATGGCAGGGAGCCACTAGCCGGGGAGCTGTCAGAGGAGTGCATCTGTCACACGCCGCCTTCTCTCCTCCCCCTCCCCCCCTCTCCTCCTCAGTTTCCCCCCTCCCCACCCTCACTCTTGGCTCAAGCCCTCCACAGAAGAGGGCAATAACGGACAGAGGAGGAGGAGAAGCGAAGAGGGCGCCCCCGCTCCCCACATCAGCTTCTTGCTGCCGTGGCCCAGGTAAAATATAAGAGAAGGAAGAGAGGGGAGGGGGAGAATTTTTAATTTTTTTTTATTTAGGTAGGCGAGCGAGTGTCCCTGACTGGCTGGTCGAGGGAAGCCTTTCCATCAGCTGCAGCGAATCCCCTTTCCCTAATATGTGACATTCGCAGCTGCTTCCCTCGCTTGGTTGGGGGGGGGAGAGAATCGTTCCCGACAGCTCCCGATGGGGGAAGCGGATCGACGCCTGCTGTCGGGGGTCAAGGCTGTGGTGGGATCCTGTGGAGGTGAGGGAAGACTGCCCCAGCCACTGCCTCGCTGCTTACAAGCGACTCTCTGCTATGCGCGCCAGCTCAGTGGAGCCTCCACCACCAGGGAATGTATATCCGAGACCAAACGCTGCTCCTCTTTCTCTCTGCCTTGTTTGCGGGCTTCCTACTTGCGCTTTGTTGGGATACAGGAAGCAGAGCTAGGGGGACTCCTTGCTGTGGACCTCCTCCCCTGTAGTAGTCCCCCCCTGTACCCTGTCATTGCCTGCCTGCCTGCCTGCCGTCGTGAAGCAGATCCCAAGCGAGGAGCAGCTGGGCTGCCCCGCAGAACCGGATTTTTCAATGTCGGGGGTTGCAACCTTTGGAATCTCGGGGTGTGCATGGGAGAGCAAGAAGCAGGAAAATAAATGCTTCCTTCTGGACGCAGGCTTTTCCTTTCCACCACTGGGGAAACTACATACGGAGGCGATGGGGAAGAATCAAAGGCTTCCAAGGCTTTCCCAGCCCCAGCGCCTCTTCCCTTTCAGGAACAGACCGCGGGACTTGGAGAGAGCCGGCAGCTTTGCCTCTCTTTTGTAGACTCCCCCCTCCCCCCTCCAGATTTGATGCCACCGTGGCCACGCCCCCTCCTCTCTCTCTCTCTCTCTCTCTCTCTCTCTCTCTCTCTCTCTCTCCTCGAGCAGGTTAACTCTTGAAGGGCGGCCCCGCAGCAGATCAATACTTCTTCCCGCTGTGCCCGGGTTTTCGGGGGTGGTGTGTGTGCTGCCCTCCCTTGCGAGCACTTCATCTGTCTTTTGGCGCTCCGGTAGCGCGTGCTTTATTGGGTATAAACGGGTCTCATTAGCAGGCACTTAAAGGGATCAATAGCCAGCCAGCGGAAAGCCTGGGGACCATTCCTCCTGCAATGGATTTACAGAGACTTTTATTTCTTCCTCTAACCCGAAGATGGCTTAATTGGTGAAAAAGCAGATTGAGGCGCACGCTCTGCCGGGGGTGCCTCTTAAGACGCAGGCCGAGTGGAGAGGCTTGCTGGGGGCCGCATGGAATTTCTTTTCGGAGCTGAACAGGTGCAGAGCAGCACCGCAAGAGTTAAAGGGATCTGTGGCAATAAGAGAGAAAGCTGCTCTTGGAGCTATTAATATAATGGACTTCCAAAAGCCATACCGGGTTTCAAATACTTACCAATTAAGTTGTTGATTTTAAATTTTATCATACTTATTACGCTATTATGCCTGACTCCTAGAGGCTGAGGTGGCTTTAGGCCACCCCAAAAATATTTCAAGGGGCCAAAGCCCTCCCCCCAAAAAGTTGATAGGCATTGCCATTCAAATAGTGTGTGTGCACTTTGTCATGTGATCGAATATGCAGAGTACCAATTCAAGTTGGTACCCCTGTCTGTAGCCATTCTTAAAACATCTGACATTATAATTCTAAGAAGGTGAATACCACCCACCACCCCATCTTGGCTAGTCTGGTTTTTTAATTGGGGTCCACACATCGTTTTCTTCCAGAATGAGTGGCAACTGGGTTCCTGTTGTTTTTCTGTAGTCCACACACAATTTAGGTGTGCTGCATATTTTGTGCCCCTGTAAAGCGCTTTTTGAGAAACTACGTTTCTCCTCAGTGTGTCCATTTGAAAACAGATACAGGTAATCCCAGAAATGGAAATGTCTCCACAGCTGCCCAAGGATGGTGGCATGTACAAATGTGGCAACCATCACTTCCTTCTTCATTCACCTGGGGCATGTGCAGGAAAGAAAAGGTGTGGATAACCTAATCAAGGGAAGAGTTTTCAAATATGTACCAGTAGCCACACCCAACCTTGGAATAGAAGGATCTAGAATCAATCTAGCAGCACAGTGTTACTCAAACTTGGGTCTCCAGCTGTTTTTGGACTACAACTCTAATCATCCCTAGCTAGCAGAACCAGTGGTCAGGGATGATGGGAATTGTAGTCCAAAACCAACTGGTGTCCAAGTTTGAACAACACTGTAAGCAGCGTGTTGAGGATGAGTGTGAACAATCCTGGGTTGAGAAAAACTACAACTTGTTCCTTAGACTACCAGCCTTCAGATAAACAGATCATGATGGCACACAAGTGGCTTGTGGAGCACAATCATAGAAACGTAGGAATTGTTTAAATAAAATTAATCAATAAAATAGACCTGGAAGGGACTACAAACGGTCCTCTCAGTTACCCCCCTGCCAATACATCCAAGTCATGTTTACTCTGAAGTAAGTCCCGCTGTCTTCAGTGGGGCCTTCTCTCCAGTAAGAGAGTTGAAGGTTGCAGCTCTAAGATGGATCCTTCCAGAAACGTAATGACGCTTTTATTTCATGGCTTTTTTAAAGGCTACAGTCCTCGGCACACTTTCCTGGAAGTAAACTGCACCGAACACAAATACTTCCCAGTAAATATGCATATGGTTGAGCTGTATGATAAGGAGAAAGGCAAGACAGCAAGGAGGGCACAGTTTGAGCAATAGACAGACAGTCGAAAGAACCACCCAAGCCATTTTATAGAACTTCCGTATGCAGATTTAAAAATATATAATTATGGTATATTAAAAAGTGGAAGCTTTGTTGAAGGGTTAGGGTTTGAGGTGGATCCTTCTGGTCTGTAAAAATAACAATCTGACCCCTTTCTCCTAAGAGGTTAACATTACAGCAGACATAGGGGAAAGTGTCCCTAAAGATGATGTTGGACACTCAGACCCATAATCCTTGGCCATTGGCCATGCTGGTTCAGGAGGAGGAGGAAGAGGAGGAGGAGGAGGAGGAGGAGGAGGAGGAGGAGAAGAAGAAGAAGAAGAAGAAGAAGAAGAAGAAGAAGAAGAAGAAGAAGAAGTTGTTTATATCCCACCCTTCTCCCAAAGGAGCCCAGGGTGGCAAACACTGAAGTGATAAAACAATAGGATTTTTTTTAATGGACATATTTAAAACATTAAATATCTGCTGGGGTGTTGGATCCTACCAGTATCTGGAGGGCCACAGGTCCCCCCCCCCCCGCTACATTAGAGGCTAAGCTACGGAATGAGCAAAAAGCTCATCAGCTTGCAAGAAGAGTCTTAGGCAATGATTCTTGTCAAACAAATGCTCTGAAGCTAATGGGGGAAAGAGAGTGCATATCAGAATGCAGGAATTTAGCTCATTATGGATAATGACTGCCAGGAGGGATCTTCCTGGCAATATCTCTAGAGCTACATTTCTTTGCTATCCACTTGGGGGAGTCTGGGAATTTTCTAAATAAGGTCCATGTTTACAAAACTTAGGCTTAAGGCAGAAGTGGTGCTGGGTATTTTGAATACATTACCCTGGCTGTTTCTCCCCGCTCTGCCCCACATGCACACACATTAGAAAGGAAAGCAAAAGGGGGGGGGGACGGACTTCTGGCACTGTGAAGATAGATATCTTGTGTTCCTATAACGGCTGTCTCAGAGGTCATTAACAATAGAGGCCACAGGGCAGAAGGTGGTAGAGCCAGATGGAGGAAGCCCTCTGATCAAAGCTGAACATTTTAAAATTGCACTCATTTCAGTGGGGCTTACCCCTAGGTAAGTGTGTAAACTGCAGTCTAAAATGCTGGATGAGTTTGGGAGTGAGTTCTGTTGAAGTTCAGTGGGTCTGACCTCTAAGTAAATATGCTTGATATGATACTGTAAGTTTTCCAATTCACATCCTGTAAGAGTCAGCTGGAAAATGAAGTCATAATAACAGTGGCAGCAGCAACAACAATATTTGTAGCAGTTACAATATGAACTGTGCTTCTAGAAACAATGCCTGGAAGATGAGGAATTCTTTAGCATTTAAGGGCTTGCTCCAGATAAGACCTTGTAACTGGGAGGCAATAATGTTGTAAGTCAGAGACCGAAACTGGAATCAAACAATGTATGAATCCCTATCATTCCATTCTACTCGGTGTAGAAAGGAATGATAGGAGCTTTTGTTGTTAGACTGTGACTGTGACTCCCCCTAGCCCCAATCACCATGGATGATGGTCAGGATGGTGAATAGTTGGAAGGGGTCCTGTGGATCCTCTAGTCCAACCCCGTGCAATACAGGAATATGCAACTGTCCCATACAGGGATTGAACCTGCAACCTTGGCATTATCAGCACAGCACTCTAACCCACTGAGCAATATCTTGTTCCTCCACAGTGCCTGTCATATCTCAACAAGAATACTATTCCACAGAACAGGGGCAACCACACTGAAAGCCCAGCTCCTGTGTTACTGTGTCTGGAGGTCTACAGGTTCCCCATTCCAGATCCTATACCAGAGAATACAGATTCGGGAACATTTTGACAGCATGAGCTCCCCCACTCTGCTTTTTCCTTAAGCAGGTGGAATGAAATGAAATCCCAAGGCTTAATTTGGGGAGAAAGAAAGAAGCAGTATATCACTGAAAAAAATGCCTTCTAGCCTGCACTTGCTTCTAGCAGCAAAAGATGATGATTGTATCATTTTACATTCTGAAATAAGAACAGCACTTCTAGAAAATGCTGATGGATGTCACTTTCCTGTCAGAATTTGCTATCTTTACCATTTGTATCCTTGATACAGGAGGCAGCGATTTACGATAGGTGCCTTCCACTTATTGGAATGTGCTATCTTCCCCAGCTCCCATCTTGAAGCGGGGAAAGTATTTTGACAGGTGCCACTCACTCACCTATCCATATCTGCAAACTGTTGCACCTGGGATGTAAGCCGCAAAGGCAGCAAATTGGGAAGGGCAAGACACTTGTCAGAATTTGCTCCTTGTGGTTACAGAAGCCCAAGTTTCAACTTGCAGAGTGTGACACAGATATGGAGGCACCAAAATGAAATCGGCAAGCTTATTAAGCAAAATCTGGGTGTGGAGGCCTACCAATCTCCACCAATATTTGAGAGAATTAATAACAGCCCTCTTAGGGTCCCACCCTATGACATCCCCATCTTCTGCTGTGCATTAGAACAAGGCAGTAAAGTTTCTCCTTGATATGAACATTTAAGTAGCATGTGCTTTTTGGTGAGATAAATTGCCCGTGGCAACCTTTAAAAAATTGATTCACTTACAGACAAAATCTGTAGCGTACCTGTACAGGGCCTAGTTTAGTGGAGGTAACTGTCCACTAAGGCACAGCAGATTTATTACTAATGTTTTAAGCCTGTATACTATTTGTACCCCTTTAGACTGCGGGTGGGAGGTTACTTGATTGAACTCTTCCTCACACAATCGTTTCCCTTAATTTTTTTTTGAAGCATCCCCCCTCCCTCAATGAAGTGGCATTCAGTCATATAATACCACAATCATGGTACAGAGCACACAGGTTTACTGCCTCAAAGCTAACTAGGCCTCATGTATTTATTCCACTTACATTCCACCCTTTTCCCCACAGAACGTAGTGACAACTATAGGTCTCCCTGCTGTTTTGTCCTAACACCTCTACGAAGTAGGTTAGGCTGAATGCATAAAAAAAGGTAAAGGACCCCTGGACGGTTAAGTCCAGTCAAAGATGGCTATGGGGTTGTGGTGCTCATCTTGCTTTTCAGGCCGAGGGTGCTGGCGTTTGTCTACAGGCAGTTTTCCGGGTCATGTGGCCAACATGACTAAACTGCTTCTGGTACAACGGAACACCATGACAGAAACTAGAGTGCATGGAAATGCCGTTTACCTTCCTGCCGGAGCAGTACCTATTTATCTACTTGCTCTGGCATGCTTTCGAACTCCTAGGTTGGCAGGAGCTAGGACAGAGCAACGGGAGCTCACCCTGTCATGAGGATTCAAACCACTGACCTTCCAAATCTGCAAACCCAAGAGGCTCAGTGGTTTAGACCACAGTGCCACCCGTGTCCCTGTGCTAAATGCACAGGCCTCTACTGAAGTCCTTCCACTAAGCATGTATTGGTAGTAATTCTGCCTGCATTGTGGTGAGGTACCCCTGGTCCCAGAATAATGTGAGCATAGGAATGCTATGTGCCTCTCTCTGAAATGAGTGGTGCTTAAAAGTGCTGAACATTTGGCTGGATTTGAAGGCTTCAGTCCGTATTTTTGATGCCCATCTAACATGGGTTATTTCGACAATCCAAATCATGATGATATCTGGGGCTGTGTCACACCGCTGCTGACTGTCTGACCCAAGAGCTATATTTATCAGCAACAGTTTCAGCAATAGCTTGCTTTTGTGTTTCCTCCCCATTTCCCATCACATTCAGAATCTGATTAGGTGGACCAAGGTGCTGGTGTCAGCTGACAGTGCAGCATGTTAGACTCCAAAGACAAACTTGAAGTGCTCTATCAGGCAAATCAACACAGCTGGAACTAGTTTATAGAGACGACAAAGTATTAACAGAGGGAAATGGCTCGGGAAATAAGATACACTGGGATGGCTCTGATTCCAGTAGTCCCAAGAAGTTTTCAGTGGTGTAAGTAGGGGGTTAATCTTCATGCCAGTACAGTCATCTCAATCCTCCTTCTACACACACACACACACAGAGAGAGAGAGAGAGAGAGAGAGAGAGAGAGAGGAGAGATGCTTTAAAAAGAAGAGTCAGGAGCACCTGTCACAGGTGCTTGGATTCCAGTCAAGAAAGAGAAAAATAAAGAAACATGCAAGCTCCGCAGAATGTTGTGAATTCAATACGTTTATCTGAGTGTGCTAGCATACCAAAAACCTTTAACGAAAAGCAAAGCACAATAACATACGCTCAGTTCTCACCTGGTAATAGATCACAGTTCACCCAAGTCTACACCACTGGCTGATTCTTTCATTATAGTTCCTTTGGAAAAATCCCTCTGGCTTTGCCGTGTTTTGATGTATGGATCTGCTTTGTTTTCTCAGATACAATGGACAAACATCGAATTCCGGTTGAGAATGAACACGGAGCTTGAGTGATTCCCCTGGCTTCTCCTCTCTTTCTCACACCTCTATGGAAGAATGCTTTATTTCCTCAAACCATCATTACTGGCTTGCGGTAACCACAGGTGGGCTTTTTCACTGGTGGCAACAGTGTCGTAGAATGCCCTCCCTGTTGAAATGTGATAGGCTCTATCCGTATGGATATTCCAGCAACTCCTGAAAACACAGCTGTCTAGGCAAGCATTCCATTGAACTTGAACTTCCTGTCTGAATTGCTTGCATTGCTCTTTTAACTGCTTATATTTTTATTCTTTTTAATTGCCTTGTTGTATGGTAAATTCTAATTATATATATTTTTAAAGTTTTGATGGAATTATTTCCATCATGCATTTTAATTATGTATGGATTTGATAATTGATTTTATACTTGTAAACCACTTAGAGATTATTTTGCCATATATGTGGCAGAGGAATTTGTTGATATCTCGGAGCTAATTCAACTTAGACCTGCCTTTTAATTCCCACAGTCATTATACGTCTCACTTTCTGCATTGCTTTATTTTACTTTGTTCAGGAATGACAAAAGTTTTACTTTTGTGGAACAGCACACACAATGCATTCCATCTTGTTCAGCAAAAGGAAGCTCATTGTTTCCAGTAGAAGATAAAGCACTGGCATTAAGTTGTTATTTTTGTCCTACATGAATAATTTTATTGTACGAGCAACCCTATAGGGGCTCCCATTATAAGGTAGAATCCACTTTCCCAGAGAAGCTAATAGAGAAGCTCCTGTTGATTTTAATGGCTCCAGGTTGTAATGATGGCAACCATTACAGCCAATCCTAAAATAGATTTATTTTTCCACCTAACCTCTTGCTAAATGTTGCCCCCACTGTGAAATCTGAAATGTCACCACAGTGACACACTTTTATTCTTGCCAGAAAATGGTCTTCACTTGACATTAGAAGAACTGGTCAAGGATCCTGGAGAGGTTGACACTTGCCCTCTGGAAGTTCTGAGAAATGGAATGGGTGGCCGAGTTATTTCTTAAGAATAGATTCTCTCATCTTTTTTGATGTGCACTTAGCTGCAAAATTTGAGAGTATTTCCAAGAATCCCCTCCCACCTGCAAGTTACAGCATAGCAACAGTGGCCTACAGCCAGATAAAGTTAGCTTTTTGCTTAAATCCTATCAGAAACAAAGGTGCCAAGTTGTCTGGGGCCCACCATACCAAATGCCCATCTCCAGGCATGTATTATGGCCTGCCAGGTAGCTTCAGTCACCACTGACTAATGTCATCACTGACATTATGTCATCAACTATTTGGGAGATGGATTTCTTCCTCCCTTCCAAATTATTGGTCAGAAGGATTCCAGATTATTTTACAGGGCTATGTAACTAACTTTTTTAGTTACATAGGATTCCAGATTATTTTACAGGGCTATGTAACACCAAAGGAACACTTTGGTGATCTAGAATCAGGTGTTCTCTATACCGGTACAAAATAATTATAGGCACATTTCAGGACCTAAGTATATCAGGGCTTGCTCTAAGCATTTCTACAGCGGAATTTCAAGCCACAACCCCATTGTTCCTGCTGGAAGGACACAAGGTCACCACTTTTCTGAAGCCAGTGGATGGATGCATGATGAAGGCCACCTTGAGTTCTTTGACAGACAATGCAAAAGAGATAATGCAAGTCAACCTCAGGTGTACAGTCATCAGCTACAGTAAAGTCAAGGGGTGAACTTGCATGTGTGAATCAGTCTCATCAAGCACATCCTATCTGTACACACCACTTGAGCCCCTTTCACATTTTATATGCATAGGACTTTCAGATGTGACCAGTGGAGAAGAGTTGGGTCTCTGGCCTCACCTGTAATGTCATGTTCCCTGCCAGTGTTTTGGGCTGCTGTTGCTGTGAGCTCCTCCATAAGTAGGCTAAGGTTGTATATATTTGTAAACAAACCATAAATGAACATAGCCTCCATTGTGCCTAGTTTTCCAAACACAAATCCTGGGTGAGTGCTTGCAATCCCTGAAATCTTGCACACCACTCAGGGGAGATTGGGCTGGTGTGGAGCATCACCTTTCCTTGGGTGTGGTCAACTTGCCCATTCCCAATTTTCAATCTTTCTCCCAGCTACCTCTGGGAGTTCTTTGTGGCTAGTTCCACAGCCGCAATCAAATTCTGCGGCAGTTCCAAAATATGCAAAGGATGATATGATTTGCAGAATTTCAGAGCCTACCAGACCCCTGGCAATAACTGTCTTTAACATCCTGCAAACACCTCTATCCTTACAGTC